TGAGAGGACACTCTTGGTTTTGAAACATTGAAGTGTTGTTTCATGCGTGAAGCTTTGGAAGAACGTTTATCTTCTGCTGTGCGGAGTAACAGGAGAAGTTCAGCAAAGGTAGGTGGATTCTGCTTCTTTTGTTCTAGCTGGAGTTCAGCTATCAAGATGTTATCCCAGCAGCCTCTGACAAACTGCCTGAGAAGATGCCGATCAAGGTCGCTTGCAATTACCCCTCCCCTTCTGAGGGTGGTGCTCAGCATGACCTGTAGCCGTTGTAGATAAGCTGAGGGTTTCTCACCATTATCCTGCATCGTGTTGAGATACTTTGCAAAGAGGTCATCCCCATCCTCGACTGTGCCGAAAGCAGAGTCCAAGATCTCTAAGTACGCACTAAAAGGAGAATCAGGTGTCAGGTGCTTCACAATATCAATGGCGGGTGATAAGAGACTTTCAAGAAGCTTTCGTGATTTGTAAAGATCAGACTGTGTCATATCTTTAAGGAGAAGTTCCACATTGGAGCGCCATGTCTCATAATCTACTTCACTGTTGGGACGTGGGACACGCCCAGAGAAGGGTCTGAGTCTCAAGGAAGTGTGCACCTGCAGAGCAGAGTCTTCATTTCTTACTATGTGCTCAACAATTACTTTTTGTATATCAGATGGATTGACATCAGAGAGTTTCAGAGCAGGCTGTGTCTTTTCTTTAGATGGTGTCGATGGTGAGGACCAATGATGCTGAACATGCTGCTGCGGGGCCATAATGGGCAGGAGGCTTACATGTGCAGCATTTTCAGGGGCATTTTGCTCTGGGGTATCAGGTAAGTTCTGCTCTGCATCTTCATCTTGGGACTCTGAGTGATCTAGATCAACAGTCTCACTGATGAGGGAGAGCTCTTCTCTGAGGACAGCTGCAAAGTCTTTACCAGTCTGTTTTGCAATGTCCTTTAACTCTGAAAGGTAAGTCTGTGTAGCTGTTTTGCTAGCTACAGGTGTGTAAACATTGGCTAAGGCTCTGATGTGGTAGGTGACATCAGTCTTAGTCTTACTGTTAAGCCTGTATGGCAATGAAGGTAAGAGAGATTGCATAGCTACACCATACGTATACTCTACGATAATCTGTTTGCCTGACTCTGGTTCAGTGAGTTCTATTGGAATTATCCTTTGAATGGAACCATATTGTTTCAGGAAGTCACTTAGTTCGTCATCGGTTTCTGTATCAGTTACACCACTAACTATGACTGAGTTAGGGACTTTTTACACTACTGGTTTGAATGACGTCCATTTCTTTTTCCACTGATAACAATATTATACAGTCTCTGGTTTCTAATTTTAAATGCTTTAACCACTCCTGGCTGGCTCGCCAAGTTGTAGCACCGGTATCACACCGCTAACTGCGCCACTGGACCAGTTCTAGGCTCTAAGGAGTGGGGAAG